AAATTCAGATTCATGTCTTTTTATGGTTTGACGCAGCTGTTTTGTGTTTTTTTATTTTCTCCCTTCTCTTGTTCTTCTCGTTTATTGGTGGTTTGTTGTTATTTGTTGTCCAAACGGAGCCGCTTCTTGTTTACTGTGTTGATGGACCGACTAACAGATGAGGTCAGGCAGGAATCCTCGTGGACTATGATGTTTGCAGATGACATTGTGATCTGTGGTGAGAACAGGGAACAGGTGGAAGAGAACTTGGAGAGGTGGAGGTATGCACTTGAAAGAAGAGGAATGAAAGTCAGCCGTAGTAAGACAGCGTCCATGTGCGTGAATGAGAGGGAGGAGGTGGAACAGTGAGGCTACAAGGAGCAGAGGTCACAAAGGTGCAGGACTTCAAGGACTTGGGGTCCACTGTCCAGGAACATGGGGAGTGTGGTGAAGAAGTGAAGGAGAGTCCAGGCAGGATGGAGAAAACTTTCAGGAGTGATTTGAGAGAAAAGCGTGTCAGCAAAGGTCAAAGGCAAAGTTTACAAGACAGTGGTGACGAGAGCAGCTATGTTGCATGGTCTGGAGACGGAGACATGGACAAAAAGACAGGAGACAGAACTGGAAGTGTCAGAAGTGAAGATGTTGAGGTTCTTCTTAGGAGAGACAAGGATGGAGAAGATCAGGATGAGATGATCAGAGGTACAGCACAGGTTGAACAACTGGGAGATAAAGTTAGAGATGGACTGAGATGGTTTGGACATGTCCAGAGGAGGGACAGTGGTTTGGACATGTCCAGAGGAGGGACAGTGAGTATATTGGTAGAAGGATGTTAGAAATGCAGCTGCCAGGAAAAAGACAAAGAGGAGATGTATGGATGCAGTTAGAGAGGACATGGAGGTAGTTGGAGTGAGGACAGAGGACACAGAGGACAGAGATGGAGGAGGAGGACTCACTGTGGAGACCCTTGAAGAGGGAAAAGCCAAAAGAAGAAGAAGAAGAAGAAGAAAATCTCTCTCGTCAGTGTTAAGGAGATTGCTGCTGACAATGAAGCTTCTTCTTCTTCTTCTTCTACCCTCACTGGGCCGTTCTCTGTAGTTGTTCCTTCTACAGAATCTTTTGCAGTGTTTCTCCTACCGTCATCCAAGGAGGGCGCCCCCCCCCCCCCCCCCGTTGACAAAAGCTGTCAGTAATAATGAGCGCCCTCCCAAAGGAACTGATCGAGGGGCATCACTGTGGACCATGTGAAGGTGTTATTTATTTATAGGACTGAGTTTGTTGTGGCGCCTCGGTCTGATGAAGTCTTTTGGATGAAAGACGAAACGCCTCAGTAAAAAAGAAACCATCCAGAGGACCTGACTTAACTTTGCTGGACAGTTTTGGACGGTCCTCTCTCCCCCACGCTGGTGCACGCAGTGATCTTCTCGGGCATATTCAGTCCGTTTTTAACAACTAAATGTTCATTCAGAGATTTTGCTTTTGGAAACTTTAATTCCTCGTTTTCTGGACGTAAACCACATTTTTTGTTTGACTGTTTCCTCTGGTATCGGACGCTGCGCAGCCGGAACGTTTTTACCGAATCTTTTTTTTAGTTTTGGACATTCGTTACGATGCGTAACCACGGCAACAAGGTGTTATTTTTTACAACCAGGAGCAGCTGATTAACATCTCAAAAGCTCAAATAATATCTCAGCTACAGCCCCAAATCTCAAACGAGTTGAAAAGGAGGCGCCGTAGATGCATTCCCGTCTCCCTGCCGGCTGTGCTCGAGTGCCTGAACACTGAGATCCTGGAACTGGCAGGAAACACGACTGTGACAGCGGAAGGACAGGATCGTTTCCAGCACCTGCTCTGGGAGGACTTCTGCCCGGAGGAACCGAGAGGCCAGCCGAGTCTGGGTGGACGGATCAGACGGCTTCTGCAGCCAGATTCTTCAGATCCACTGTGGGACAAGAGATCCTTCTACAGCACCTGTAACAACGAGGATGATGAGCTACAGCAACGTTTCATTTCCCTTTGGGATGAATTTTGAATAAGGTCGAAGGTTTCCTCTCGCCTTTGCGATCGAGTCGAATCGTTTTACCGGCACAAGTCTTCCCTCGTCTTTGCTGTTCGACCTGACTGAACTTTACCTGATTTACTGAGCACGAACTTTGATGTTGTGCTGCAGGTTTCTTCCTGTTAAAAGGGAGTTTTTCCTTCCCACTGTCTCCTTCGTGCTTGCTCAGGACGAGAGACTGTGGTGAAGCGAAGATTCATCGAGTCTGCTGCTCCTGAGATGGAAAACTTTTACTAATCGTTTTTTTTATGTATGAATGTTTGCGTTCATCGTCCTGAGACGACTTCTGTTACATAAATAAACTGAATTGAGCCGATCACACAGATCCATGCCGTTCATTTATTGTGTTTTATTTTTCTGCTTCGTGCTTCTACACCGTTCGGTCGTGTGTTGGAAACAAGTTTTTTACTCTTGTCTTCAACTCACCTCCTCTTGTCCTTCATGATGTCACGGCCTCCTCTTCCTCACCAACATGTCTGTCTCCTCCTCGTGCTCTCCTCCTCATGCCGGGTCCCACCTTGAAGCGGAATGGAGAGGAGGTGGAGAGGAGCGGGAAACCGGTTCTGCAGGTAGAGGCCTAACCCAGATCCCTCGAGCCTGTTGTCACCGTTATTTCTGCCGCGCATGCGCGCTGCCGCCCGTTTCCTGCTTTTTTCAAAAAGCGACTACCTGTGCTGCTTTTCGACCCACCTCCCCGTGCGTGTGCGCGCGTGCGTGCGTTAGCTCAGGGATATCTGCCGGGTTTTTTTTTTTCCTCCACACTCCCGTTATTTCCGAGCGCTCTCTGTTGAACTGCTCACCTGAGCGGACTCACCTGCCCGGGAGGAGCGCGCGCCTCCTCCGCCGAGCTGGAACTAAACGAGAGAAAAGAAAGATAAAAAAATAAAGGGGTGAAAGAGAGAAGAACGGCTGGAGAGGAGGAAGAAAAGAGAGAGAGAGAGAGCGCGCGGCACCTTCTCCTTCCTGCTTTGAAAACTTTTACCTGCTGAGTTCTGACGTCGCCGGAGCGGGTTCTGTTCCGAACTTCCCTGAAACGAGCAGCAGAACCGACGGCTCGGTTCTGGTTCCGGAGCCGGCATGCCGCGGGCCTTTCTGGTGAAGAAGGCGAACTGTTCGCCCATGAAGCGGAACTGGAGCGAACTCCCGGACCACAAGCGGGGGGACGTCTACATCCCAGGTGAGTCCACGCTGCGGCTGCATGAGAGCCATGTTTGTTTGTTTGTTTGTTTGTTTGTCTGGAGCTGGAACCGAACCACAAACATAACAGAGGTGGGGAGGGGTGGACTGGTTTTGGAGCTTTTTACGCACAGGTTGGAGATTTATGCGTTTTTTAAATGTTTGGTTTGTTTTTTGTGGAGCAGGTGGGGGGGGGGGGGGTCGGTGCTGAGTGTAACGGGGCCGTGAGTACCGAATAACGGGAAGGACAGCGGGACCCCGAACCTCCACTACCTCAGAGGGACCACTGGATTATTTTTTATTTATTTTATTTTATGCGTAAATTTGTTTAATTTGCGTAAAAAACAACAATTCCTGCCTCCAAAATCAGATAATTTCATCCTTTTGATTTAATCTTAATCACGTAGAATTGGATTAAATCAAATGATGGGTTGATCAGAATAAAGGAAAGTTCTGGTCTTGGGCCCAGCTGGGCCCGTTGCTTCTCCTCGACCTTCAGCCTCTCAGTCCTTCCTTGTTCGGTCTGCTCGAGTCTCCCTCTGGCGCTTTTTACTCCTCAACTATAAACCTTAAAGAATAAAAGACATTATTTTACTCTGCTGAGGCTGGGGGGGGGGGGGGGGGGGGGGGGGGGGTTGTTGCACCCCCACCCGGTCCGGGAGAACAGTCCCCATTGTTGCCCACTGGAACACCTCTCAGATCAGATAACAACTAACGGACTACACCCTAAACCTCTCAGTCCTGCACCCTTCCCCCCTCTCCCCTCCTCTTCATCACCGTTACCTTTTACTCCCCCCCCCTCCCTCCTCCTCCTCCTGGCTGTTCGCAGTTTGAAGGTTTTAAACTCATCAGAAAAGAGAAAATAAAGTTTTTTTAAAGAAAAGCGCAGACAGCCTGAATGGGAATGCGTTTTTACGCACCGGAGCGCAATTTGGCACCAAAAAACCAAAACATCCTTTATGTTCATTATTTTAAACAGATTTCGACTCCAAGCCCAGCCAGTTGTAGAATCTCAGATTCGGACATAATTATTAATATTTGCATTATTTTGCTTTTATTTATTTATTTAATTATTAAGAACCCTGGAGCGCCTGTGCGTAATGGCGCAGAAATAATCGACCCGGCAACGGTCTCAGTCACAGTTTCTGGTATGTGCCGTTACTTGATGTACCTGCTTTGTGCGTGCGCGCGTGCGTGCGTCCTGCTCTCACACACATCCCCCCCAACACAACAGAACAGAAACACACAGGTATGATAATTGCCTCAGAGACAGGAGTGTTTGTTGAGCGTCTTTTATGAGACTCAGATGCGTCAGTTTACAGTAGTTTGGACAGTTTTTAAAGGTGTGCGTGTGTGCGTGCGTGTGTGTGTTCTACACTAATGGTCCACAAGCATGTGCCTCAGCCTGTTTCTGACAGTCTCTAACTGTTTCTCCTCCACTTCTCGAGCTTTAACGGAAACATTAGACAGTTTTGTGCCACATTTTTTTGGGCACTTGAGACAATAAAGGTGCTGCAACAGAAAGCTGTTTCATAAACAAGAAGTGCTGCGTCAAGGCACGTTGCTGCTCTGCACGCCAAAGTTTAAAATCAAAACGTCTGACCATCAGTTAGCACTCAGAGCATGTGTTGGAGATGACTCTCAGCTACTACCACGCCGAGTTTCAGTTTAAAAGCTGCCAAATTGACTGAGAATTAGCCGTTTATGTGTTTGCCACTGTAGATTGGCTGCGGCAGCCATCTTTAATCAGGTTGACTCCAAAAGTTAATCAGTTGCAGACGTACATCCAGTGATTACTTCCTGAAGGTTTTATTAAAATTCACCCGTTGGTTCATGAGATATTTTGCTAACAGACATGGGCAGTTACGTGATTGCCCCACCTATCATGGTGGTGTGCAGTGGAAATTAATAAAACCATTAAAAAAAATAAGAAAGTGCTCCATTTAAGTGTTTTATTTCTGGATTTGCATAAATGTCCAGTTAAACTCATTCTTTCTCGTTTGGTTTCTGCCGATGTCGTTCTGTCTGTTTCAAATTGTTTGAAAGTTTTTATGTGTTTGGCAACAACAACAAAAATAAACCAAACATGATAGATGGTAACGTTATTATTGTTTAAACAGATCCGTCTTAAATTAAACTCGGAGCTTTTATTTGTCTAGATTTGAAAAAAAAGTCAGTTTTAGATACAAAAACAAACAGAAAATACTTTTATCCTCTGCATAAAGAAGTTAATGAACTCCAGTAATGTCTAATTTTATTTATTATAGTGCAAATATTAGTCTAAATAATATATAAATTAGTTTTAATCTCATGAATTCAATTGAATTGAATTTAATAAGCTAAGCTAACTAGCTTCCTGCCACTCTGGCTGATGTTTTCAGACAAGCCGAGGAAGCTAACCAGCTAGCTAACTGACGCAAGCTACGCTAACTCATTACACAACACTCTGGTTGAATGTTTCCAGTCAGGACGAGCTAAACTATCTGGTAGGTTAAAAATAACTAGTTTCTTGACTCTCTGGTTGATGTTTCCAGATAAGATGTTTAAACTACCTGATTAACTAACTAAGCTAAATAAGCTAAGCTAACTATCTGCCTGTCTGCTTGCCTGGTGTTTCCATTCGGGATGACTAAGATAACTAAATAATGCGCTTGCTATCTGGTGCACCCAGTAGAGATGGGCACCTGGTCACCCATGACCTGGTAAAGAACAAAGTGGGTAAAGAAGATGAATGGACAATAACTAAATTAGCTTGCTAAGTTAAGTTAAGCTAACCCGTTGGCTGCCACTCCTGCTGAATGATTCCAGCCCGGATAAGCTAAAGCCAAGCTAGCTGCTTGCCATTCTGGCTAATGTGGCTAGCCTTTTATTTTTAGAGACAAATATAAAAGTTAGATCTTGTTCTTCGTGAGAACGTTTGACCAAATAAAAAACAATAAATACGCCTCTCAGAAAGTATTCAAGGACAAGTGTTTAATCAGTCTACCTCTAATAAAGCCACTGGGGTCAAGGGTCAGCTTCCTTTGTCAGAGCTAAAGCTGCTGCAGGTTAATGTTTATTGAATGGAAGAAAATGTAACGGGCCGCGGGAACAGCCTGCTGCTGAAGACAATACACCTTTAGCAAACACACGCCCCGCGGTTGATAAACTTATCTACCGATTATTGACCTTTTCTTTCAGCAGAGCAACTCTACAAAATGAAAACAGTGCTTTAAACGGTTCGAACGCTCCCGTTTACCGTTTGGGAAGAAACCGGCGTTCATAAAACCGAACAGACTCGCCTCATTCATACGTGATCGGGGGGAGGAGAGGTGAGCAAACAAAACGAGAGGAGATTAAATATGCAGCTAGCAGTCGTGACCACGGAAACCATCGCTGCAATGGAGCTAGAGGAAAGATTTTAAGGCGTTCCACTTTATTAAAAACTATTGTCATGTGGGTGACTTTTGGCGAGAACTGGCTCCAAATGAACTTGATTTGAAATGACCACGGTGTGTTCTTAGTAAACGCTCAAGTTTAGGCTTTTATTTTCTTGCAAAATGCCTTTTTTTCTTAAACCCAACAACAATTAAATATTTAGGAAAGTTAATGGTGTCAGGTCAGTTTTTGACCCATTAATACACATAAAAACCCAATTACTCTGTTGAAATTAGCATTGCTTAAAGCAGGGGTTCCCAACACTGGTCCTTGAGGAACGCCATCCTGCATGTTTTAGTTGTTTCCCTGCTCCAACACACCTGATTCAGTGATTTTATTACTTACCGGTACTCGTGTTCCGCAGAAGCCTTTAAATCACCCATATATTAAAATCTGGTGTGTCGAAGCAGAGAAACAACTGAAACATGCAGGATGGTGTTCCTCAAGGGCCAGGGTTGGGAACCCCTGCCTTTAAAGGAACACTTTCACATCTGCTCACTTTGCACACCAAAGATTTAAACATAGATCTAATTAGATTTGTTAGTTCTCTGGTTATCTAACGTGGACAACTCTCAGCTACCACCACAGCAAATTTTAGCTCAATATCTGTCGAATTGACTGAATAATTTGCATATTTGAGTTTGTTAATATTGATTAGCTGTAGCAGCCATCTTAAATATGGTTGACTCCAAATGTTTATCAATAGTAGACCCACATCCACTGATTTCTTTCTGAGAGTTTTATTCAAATCTGTACTCTGGTTTATGAGATATTTTGCTAACAGACAGGGTTAGTGATTGGTCTATGTATCTAGAATGACTCAGCTACACCAAATTATCGCTCATCATCTCTAAAACTGACGAGTTGTAGCCACGAATAAACAAAACAAAGTGAAACTACGTTCCAGCTGAGGAAGCTGGTTGTTGTGTTAGTTGTGATAACATCTGTCTAACAGAGGTTTTTGTTTTGCATCGTCGAGCTATCGTTTGTCAGAACGCAACATACAAACGGATATTTGTGAAACCAGGCGAAGCGGTAAAACGTGCCAAAAGAGAAAACTGAAGTCGGACTTTGAGCGGCCTTTATTCATAAAACATTTAAACTATGCACCTGATTTCCACAAATGAGATACTGCTGGATTCCTCGGGTCAGCCGGAGGTAAAACACCGGACGGCTGTTTGATCAAAATATGGGTTTCCTCACGAAACTTCCTGGAAAAGGACGGAAAAAGAATTGAGTCATTTTAGTCAAAGTTGCCTAATTTGAATTAGATCGTGTGAAGAGGGGATGTATTTATCCATCACAGTTTCTTGTTGTTGTTGTTCTTCTTACTTCTTTCTTCTTCTTGTCTTTCTTCTTTCTTCTTCTTCTTCTTATTAGGGGTGCACCAATAAATCGGCCGGCTGATGCATCGGCCCCGATTTCCCTAATTTTGGGAGATCGGGGCCGATACTTACATGAGAAACTGATTTCACAGATTTAAAAAAAGTATTAACAACAATTGTCTGAACTTCATTTATATTTCAGAGCACTACCTCATGTCCAGTGAAAACAAGTTTGTGTTGTTTCTAGGATATTGTTCAA